CCCCAGTGGTCTGCCTCTCTGTACCCTGAGTCTGTGGGGGAGGTAGCATTCAATAAAAGTTATGTCAAATCTGTCTTACATTCAACAAAGTGAGTTATGGAGAATTGGCATTTTCTAATGAAACTATGTTTTGCTGGAAAATTTCCAATCAGCTCCACTCTCAAAGTCTTTTTCAATGTCACTGATTCCCATAATAGAGTCCCCCAGCCTGTCAATATGGATTCATTTTTCCTCTAGATGTATAGGTCCAATAACCGTGCGGGACACTACTAGAAACACACCTGCTCAATGATGATCCTCTGTTTGCAATTATATTTTGAGATCTATACAACAGCCATTTTTAACCCATTTAACGTGTGTGATGTTGATTTTGTTTCATTTTAGTTCTTTAATCACAATGCTGGGCAGTGCCAATTCAAATACCTTAGGGAAGCATAAATACATGACACAACACTATTCCTTTTGTCAACGAAACTTATAATTTCAGTAAAAAAATCAAGTTAGTTTGATAAGATCTTTTTTACACAAACCCATTTTGATTGGCATTACGTCAGCACCCACAATATGCTATATTGAAGGCAAGGTGGATAAAAAACAATTATTTTTTTAAATTTAAAAAATATATATTTAAATTGGATTGTTCAAATTTAAATACAAGTTTATTTTTCTAAACAAGCCTATTTAAAATTAAATTTGAAATTATGAAAACCTATTAAAATAATTTAAATTAAATTAAAAATATTAAGCGGTATATTTGCTTGCAAAGTTTTAAAGAAAGTCAAACCACTGAACTGGTTTAATTTGCTAGCTAAGCAGCTGCAACCAGAATTTGGTGAAGTGCTAAACCAACCAGCCTCTACTTCAGGTGCAAAGAGAATATTTTCATTTCAGTTTATTCAACTAGTTCAGTTCAGTAGCTAGTTAATTCAAAATTAAGAAACCAGCTGTTAGTTGAAAATGCTTGGTTTCCTCCTCCAATCTATGAATAAAAACTAGATCTGAGAGGATGAGATCTACTAGTTCTAAAATCTTGAAGGACAATGGTAAACAGAAATGATCAATTCACTAACTACAAATAATACTATGTTTAAACTTTCTGATAAACTTATTTTCTTATATATATAGCACATTTAAAGTAGATTTATTTAACTAATTTTTTTTTAAAAAAATGTTGTTTGTGTGTTTGTAACTGAATTTGAATTTCCATCCAAATGCAGCTTGACATAAATCAGAATTAAAAAAATAAATCTAGTAAATTAGAAATGCGTCTGTCAGGGTTTCCTCCCCACTCTAAACTCTTGGGTACAGATGTGGGGACCCGCATGAAAGACCCCCTAAGCTTATTTCTACCAGCTTAGGTTAAAAACTTCCCCAAATCCTTCCTTGTCCTTGGATGGCACTGCCACCACCATCAAGTGAGTTAGACAAAGATGCAGGAAAAGGACCACTTGGAGTTCCTGTTTCCCCAAAATATCCCCCCAATCCCCTTCACCCCCTTTCCTGGGGAGGCTTGAGAATAATATACCAACCAAATAGGTAAACAAGGTGAGCACAGACCAGACCCTTTGGTTTTTAGTGTCCTAAAAACCAATCAGGTTCTTAAAAGCAGAACTTTATTATACAGAAAAAAGTAAAAGTAACACCTCTGTAAAATCAGGATGGAAGGTAATTTTACAGGGGAATAAGATTTAAAACACAGAGGATTCCCCTCTAGGCAAAACTTCAAAGTTACAAAAAACAGGAATAAACCTCCTTCTTAGCATAGGAAAAATTCACAAGCTAAAACAAAAGATAATCTAATGCATTTCCTTGCTATTACTTACAATTTCTGTAATTTTAGATGTATCATTTCAGTAGAAGCTGGATTACTTGCTTGGTCTCTCTTTGTCTCGAGACGGAACACACAGAGAGCACAAACAAAACCACTCTCCCCCCCCCCCAGATTTGAAAGTATCTTCTTTCCCCATTGGTCCTTCTGGTCAGGTGCCAACTAGGTTAATAGAAGTGATTAACCCCTTACAGGTAAGTGATTCTGTACCTCTGGCCAGGAGGGATTTGATGTTACTGCATATATAAAGGTTGTTACCCTTCCCTTTATATTTATGACAGCATCATTTGCCATTTTCTAACAATTTCAGTGCTGCCAACCTCAAAAAATCAAAAAATATGAGCCATGTCCCCACAATTCTTTTTTTTTTTTAATCAAATGATGGTTTTAGTCTGCAATGTGGGTAGCCTGCTCAGGGAACTCCTCCCCCCTCCACCCCACAGACACATCATATTCTACCAGGCAGGCACACAGATTGGTTCATGATTAAACCCTTCATGAACACAATTGCAAATGCTACCACTATTACTCAGTATTTCTCAAACCAATTATCTTGCATTAGACTTTGTCTACACTGGCAATTGAACGACAAACCTTTTGTCTTTCAGAGGTGTTGAAAAAAAAAACCCTGAAAAACAACAAGCAAGAGTGTGAACAGCGCACTGTTGGCAGGAGTGATCTCCTACTGATAATGCAAACGTCGCTCGTTTAACTACATTGCCAAATTTACCAAACCATTATAATTATACTGGTAAATTACCCTCTGGAAACAAACATTGACAAGAATAGCCAATCCTTGTGTATGCTCCAGATGTTCTTGGTCAAACAAAATACAAGGCCAAACCTGTACATCAAAGATCTTGTGCATTTTGAGGTGATTTGTGACAAACTTTTTTACTTTGCCATCAAAACGATTTCAGTATAAATCATGTAATGTTAATCATATTTTCCACACGTGATTAGATATGGCCTACTCAAGATTTTTCCTTTTATTAATGTATCAGTTACAATTACTGCGATATCAATTCTCATTGGCATATTGTCAATCTAAATTTTTGTTTCTAAAATTTTAAATTAATTACTATTTAGTTAAAATGCTATTTTTAAAAGAAGTGCTCCCGGAGAAAGTTTACTGTATTTCCATTCAACAAGCACCTTGCAACCATACAAAAGGCAGTACTTTTAGGGGTTTGCACCACTAAAGAATTTATCTTTCCCAGTCAAGAATTTGCCAATTAAAGCCCAAATCTGCAATGTGCTGAAGAGGAGATAACCAATGTCCTGTAGGATTGGGTTCTATTATGTTTAATTACCAACATTAATAGATTCATAGAGTTTAAGGCCAGAAAGGACCATCAGATTATCTAGTATTTCACATGCCATTAAATGTCATGCAGTTACCCGCGTACTGAGCCCAACGACTGGTCACTGACAAAAGCATACATTGTGTTTGACTAAAGCATATCTAATAAAAAGGCATCCAGTCTTGATCTGAAGACATCAAGAGATGGAGAATCCATCACTTCCCTTGGTACTTTGTTCCAACTGTTAATCACCCTCACAATTAAATTTCTTAGTCTCCAAATATCCACAAATCCAATATCCTCCAGGGATAATGGATGGTTTGCAAAGGCCTGCAGTTTTCACCTACAACACTGAGATTTGTCTATGATAGATCATCCATGACAGCGTTCCAATTTCCTCCTAATACCACTGGGACATCAGCTCTGATGGATAAAATGTCAGTTATTTCTGCAATAAAGGGTTCATTCCCACCATTATGATTATATACACTCCCTAAAATTAATCTCTTAGTATTGGATTATCCTGGATCTGCCCTCTATATCTGACCATGACTGAATAAATTGAAAAGGTAGGCTCTTATGGATTGATATCATTACTCCCCCACTTATGCAGTTGAAAGAGGAGTGATATTCATATCCCACCCATAGTTTTTAAATTCTGTTGGCATTTTCATTCCTTATAAGCGTTTCCTGAAGAAAAGCCATCTGACATCCATTTGATTTTAAGAGCCTTGAAGTTTTGATTCTCTTGGAGTTTTCAGTAAGCCCCCATACATTCCAGGAACAAACCTTAACAGAGTTCATGAAAAATTCCAATTGACACCCAATAGCTTGGCATCCTCCAAGTGCCTCTCCATACAAAAAACAAACAAACCAAAAACAAAGGAAACATAGACCGCCCACCTTACTCTTAACATACCAGACTTCCAATATGAGCATGTTCAGGTCCCAGATGGTGTATGCTTGCACCCACCCACCCCATGCATAATATGAATTAATTAGGAGTCTGCCAGAAATATACCTATATTTACCAATACCTACATATGCCAAGGTATATAAATGAATGAAACCTACTGCTTAATAGTGACAAATGCATAAATAATAGTACATAGTATATAAATGTTCATATTCACATGGTATATAAATATTTATACCAATACACAAATGAAAAAAGTAAACATGAAGTGACAAATGATGTGTGCAAATAAATAAATATAAATATATTATTACCATACACGTTATAAATACATAAACTTTAAGTATGGGTTGAAAAAGTAAAAATAAATATACAAGTGCTCATATAAAATGATACATGTAATCACAAATAACACACAAGTAAATAGATATGAATATATTAGCATCATGTATATATTATAAACATATACATTTAAGTAGAAATAAAGAGATACGAATAATATAGTTATTAATAATATATAGATATACTTATGTTTTCTTAACATATTGAAATTATTGATTATCAAGCTATATTAAATATCCTAACAGTACTACTTATACCCTATAAAACTAATATTAAATATGCCAGATGCAGGTACCAACTGTTTTCAGTTCCCTTGAGACTGAAGAAACAGTAGTTAACCCCTTTGGCTCTCTGCACTTCCATTTATTAAACAGTTGAAGCACCTTTAAAGAAAAATACAATTTTTTAGGTATACTCTTGGAGTGTTCTTCAGAAAATCGAGTCCAGTACCACTTCTTATCTCACCAACTCTCCTTCCATGCTAATCTGGATTAATCCCCATTTTAAATACATTAATAGCTCAAAACTCAGAGCATACTAACCATAAAAAATATTACTAACTGGACAACTTTAGCCTCCTTCACATATCTTTGTGAAAACTATCACTTACCAACAGAGCAAGGTCCTTTCTACAATAAGCTTTGATTTGAAGTTATGAAGGAGCTTGGGAATTGTTGGCAGGCTGCACATAACACTCCACTTGAAGTGCACCTTAAAAAGTATGTTAGTCAAAAACATTTTGTGAGTAACACATACAAATGGCTGAACTCCTTAATTTATCTAATTGACTATACCATAAAAGAAAAATAAGAGAAGGAACTAAACATCTCCATTTCCTCCGACACGTGGGATAATATATTGCACAATAGATGCAGAACATTCAGTTCTGTTTTTGCATTTCTTTCTGAACAAAATTCTAAATAGATATTATTGGACCACTGAGGGACTGCATGATGCTGGAGTTACCCCAACAGGGGATGGATGGATCACTTGATGATTACATGTTCTGTTCATTCCCTCTGAAACACCTGGAGTCAGCCACTGTCAGAAGACAGGATACTGAGCTAGATGAATCTTTGGCCACACTGACTTAGACCATATCACACAGTAAATGTTGGAGATGTGACAGCTCCAATGCAGACCTGTCACATACAGTCTTTGAATGTCAAAGTATATCCACATTCTGGAAGGAAATGTGTGGTGCTCTATCTAAGGCCAAGTCCTAAGTCCAGCAACCTCTGTGTTTGGGGCATTCTAGAACATCTACCCTGTTCTAGTAATGCCAGAAAATGGATTGCTGCAGCACTTATAGTGGCCAAAGAGTCATTTTACAAAAATGGAAATCTGCTATTCCTCCCACGTTTCTGGGATACAGTAAGCAAATACCGTTCACTGCTCCTGATGGAATACTGATGTATGGCCAGTAGCTGCTTCGAGAGACTTCTCACCAAAAGGACCCTTACAACAAGATGTGAGCTTGGCTTTTTCTAAGTCTAAAAATTAATGTTGCAGAACAAAACCCAGAGAACAGAAAAAAAAGGGGGTGAGGAATCAGAAAAGAAAAGCTCATTTGAGCCATGTGGCGGAGAAGCCAGCAAGAGATTTCCCCACACAAATACCCCTTGCAGACAGTCGTACTGGCAAAATCCTGCCGATGTCCTCCTGAGGCTGGGAAACTCTGTTCTGCCCTTAAAAGCCACTGTTTTGCTCTAAAAATAAAAATCACTCCAGGAAAAGAGGTAACACAGAGCAACCTCTCAACAGCACTCAGTCTTGGGGAAAAAAGCATTAACCTCTATTAACTCTACAGTGATCCATGGGATAACTCTGCCAGCAAAGTTGGGGGGGGACACAGCCTTTCAAGAACCCTGCAGAAGACCCAGGTGCACAAGTTCCCAATTGCACCCTTCCAACACCAAGGCTCAAAACACCTTTCACATGGCCAGTTTACCACTCTTCCCCCGCCCAACCTCCTCCACTTCTGCCCCACCTCTATTCCTCCCTCTCCCCATCTCCCAGTTCTCCCTCCCCTTCCCCCAACCTCTTTCAAACCTCCTCCCTCTCCCCCACCTCCTCCCCACCCCTAGCCACCCCCATTATCCCTTCCCCCATGTGAGCTCCTGCCAGGATTCCACCCCTCTGTGGCTGTGTGTCCTCCTCAATGTTTCCCTTCGAGCCTAATTCCCCTTTGCCTCGGTATCTCCCCTCCCCCATGCATCTGCCCTGCCATCCCAGGTTGAGGGAGGAGCTACTAGGTATGAGGCCAGAGCCACCCGATCTACCCCTACTCTGCACTCAGGGTCCAAGCAGACAAGGAGAGGTCAGCTCCAGGGAGCAGCCTCCCACCTGTTCAGGAGCAGGACAGAGCACCCTCTCAGGGCAGGAGACTGTTACTAGCACTGTTTCCTCTGTGCCCAGCTGATCAGATCAATGGTGCTGAGCTGCACTAAGAAGCAACTTGGGACTGCTCCCTGCCTCCCTTCCAAGTGAGAGCTGAAACAAAGTCAGGGTTGAGTTGACAATAGAAGGGAAGTTATCCTCCCTAAAATTACCCCCATGATAATGATGTATTAAGGGAGCATGCAACAAATATATTACTACCTATAAGAACATAAGAACGGCCACACTGGGGCAGACCTAACATCCATCTAGCCCAGTATCCTGTCTTCCAACAGTGGCCAGTGCCAGGTGCCCCAGAGGGAATGAACAGAACAGGTAATCATCAAGTGATCCATCCTCTGTCGCCCATTCCCAGCTTCTGGAAAACAGATGCTAGGGACACCATCACTGACCATCCTGGCTAATAGCCATTGATGGACCTATCCTCCATGAATTTATCTATTTCTTTTTTGAACCACCTTGAACCCTGTTATAGTCTTGGCCTTTACAACATCCTCTGGCAAGGAATTCTACAGGTTGACTGTGTGTTGTGTGAAAAAATATTTCCTTTTGTTTGTTTTAAATCTGCTGCCTATTAATTTCATTTGGTACCCCCCTAGTTCTTGTGTTATGAGAAGGAGTAAATAACACTTCTTTATTTACTTTCTCCACACCAGTCATGATTGTATAGACCTCTATCATATCCCTCCTTAGTCACCTTTTTCCAAGATGAAAAATCCCAGTCTTATTAATCTTTCCTCATACGGCAGTCATTCCATACCCCACTCATTTTTGTTGCCATTTTAGGAACTTTTCCAATTCCAATAGATCTTTTTTGAGATGGGGTGACCACATTTGCATGCAGTATTCAAGATGTAGGCATACCATGGATTTATATAGAGGCAATATGATATTTTCTGTTTTATTATCTATCCCTTTTTTAATGATGCCCAACATTCTGTTAGTTTTTTGACTGCCGCTGCACATTGAGTGGATGTTTTCAGAGAGCTAGCCACAATGACTCCAAGATCTCTTTCTTGAGTGATAACAGCCAATTTAGACTCCATCATTTGTATAGTTGGGATTATTTTTTCCAGTGTGCATTACTTTGCATTGATCAACACTGAATTTCGTCTGCCATTTTGTTGCCCAGTCACTCAGTTTTGAGAGATCCTTCTGTAGCTCTTGACAGGCTGCCTGGGACTTAACTATCTTGAGCAATTTTGTATCATCTGCAAATTTTGCCACCACACTGGTTACCCCTTTTTCCAGATCGTTTATGAATATGTTGAATAAGACATCACTATTTACCTCTCTCCATTCTGAAAACTGACCATTTATTCCTACCCTTTGTTTTCAATCTTTTAACCAGTTACCAATCCATGAAAGGGCCTTCCCTCTTATCCCATGAGAGCTTACTTTGCTTAAGAGCCTTTGGTGAGGGACCTCGTCAAAAGCTTTCTGAAAATCTAAGTACACTGTATCCATTGGATCCTCTTTGTCCAGATGCTTGTTGACCCCAAAAAGAAATCTAGTAGATTGATGAGGCATGATTTCCCTTTACAAAAGCCATGTTGACTCTTCCCCAACAAATTATGTTCATCTATGTGTCTGACAATTTTGTTCTTTACTATAGTTTCAGCCAGTTTGCCCAGAACTGAAGTCAGGCTTAACAGGCCTAAAACACTGAGTTTCAAAGTTTAGAGTCCAGTCCTCCATGTACTGAGGGTTAATAGTAATTTTGCCAGTGATTTCAATCTCTTTCTCTAGTTATTTATAACACATTCATCAATATAGTATCTGAGCACTGGGGACTAGGATCAGACCCTTACTGAATTCTAAATAGTTATTCTGAATTATGGCCATGCCGATTCCTGTGATGCATCCAGCATTAAAAATCAATGCATATTTTGGGTCTCTGAAGTATACGCTCTTATTTAATGATCAGTTCTCTTGCTGTGAGCACAAAAGCTACACAAGTTATATTAATGCTCACATTCAAAAGGGTTACCTAAGTGACTTATGCATCCTCTGATGCGATCATCCTGGTGGACAGTAGCTGACTTTGTACAGAAGACAGGTACTGCCTGTGGGAACCTCCACTTCCCAGCTTCAAAAGGATCTACGTAGATGTTTAGAGAAATTTACACCAAACCTAGTGTGGAAATGCTGAAAGATCAAAGGTGAATCAAAAGGAACTTAGAGTAGCAAACAGGATAATAACATCTCCCTCAACAAATGTCTTCACATACTGCCCCTAAGGCAGTTTGAAAGCTCATAGGTACATTGCCTATAAAGTATGCAATGGAGCCAGATGTTGCCAGTGGAGCAATGTATTCCACGGCTTATGTGAAACAGAGTACAACCATGCCCTGGGCCCCCAAATGCTCTTGACTCCTGAAAGCAACAAAATGCATGTAAACAACATCATGAGCATCAGTAACAGAAAGGCAAATGCTGCAGCAATATGGGAATGACTGTTTATTCACTGTGCACCAATCTTCATCCTGCCTTCTCTGGGAGCAAGAGATACATTAGCCCTTTATTCATGCATATTCCAGCTCTGCTCCACCTGATTAATTTTGAGGATGGTCAAGCATGGTGCTGAATGTGGACAGAAGGGCTCCGTGTGGACTCTGTGTTTGGGACTCTTCCTCAACTGGGGCAAAGGTCAGGGATAAAAAAAAAGTATATGGATCAAAGGAATATGTTTTGCCTGCATTAAGGTCTCCATTGCTACTGCAAGCTAAATATATATTTTTAATTAAGTAGATGGATTTATTTTTTTTATGAGCAATACAATATCACTTGGTATTTACAAGATATTTCTAGAGGCTAAACAATGTACGTTAGCCAGATTTGGTTTATCTCTTACCAATCCATATACTGTATAGAACCTAGAAAACACAACTTTAGGCACAGAGGAAATACAGTCTAGAGGAGTGAACAGAGTGGAATAATGCAGACCAAACACTAGCCCTTTCCAGAGATCCTTCCCATGTAATTTGTGGGATTCATGTACTTACAAAAAATGCCACCCTTTCAATCTCTGTAGCAAAGTGTTTGCAATATTCATTTCAAAGCAAGGGAAACAAGAATTCATATAGAGCAAAGAAAGTTAATCTGCATCCACAGTGCACTTCAATCTTTGAAAAGTTAATCAAAAACATCAGTACAGACCTGCTGACTCCTGCCAATTTATCCCTTTTTTGCCCGTTTATAGGAAACACAAACACACTAATAACTCCGAAATATTTTGTTTTTTGTTACTAGACCTAGGCACACACACACGTAGAATACTGCATTATATTTGCATACATTACAAATACTCATTAAGGGACTAAGTGCTGAACGCACATCATCCCCCCAGATATCTTTGTACTGTATACTGTATTTTCCAGCCCTTATCTGTTTTGGATTTTGAGGCTGATGAGCCTTAAAAAAAAAAAAAAAAAAAGATAATGAATCATAACATCTGTTCTCTTTTCTAATCAGAATCCTTCCTTAAACTCTGAATACAATAGTTCTTCTATAGAAGGCACAAATGAGTCTGCAACTAAAATACTCTCATTAGATGAAGAAACAGGTAATGCTGTTGTGACTATGGTTACTGAAGGAAACACCATGCAAAACGATAGCATTGAATGCAATTTTCTGGGATTCTTCCTGTGAGATGTACCAGCTTAGCAAGGCTAACTTCAGCAGTAGTGCAAGCAAGGACAGAGTATATTATCAGACCAGGAGATGAGAGCTCTGAGTTCAAATGGGGGCAGCTAAACAGGGGACCCAAACCCAGTATTTACACACTTAGTTTGGCGCACAGATCTGTGTGAAATACCCATATTTTGTACCTATGGACCAATTTGTATGAAATTCCGATTCAGATGCTCTTTTAAGACATCTGTGTTTGAAAACTTATCTGATGTGTTTATCACAGTCATTCATAACAAAGTTTCTTCTAAACAGCTATGATACAAAACCAAAGAGTGAAACCCTGGCTCCACTGAAGACCATGAGAGAATTTTACTTCCTAATTACACAACTGATGCACAGTAGTTTGCTATGTATGCTTTTCACCTTTCCAAAACAAAGAGTTAAGGTAATATTTTTCAAACAATACATGATACACACATTTAAGGTACAAATGGGTTTTGTTACAGGTACATAAAAGTGACTCAGTACTTTGCGTGAATCTTCATATGTTGGGAGGAAAGTGTCAGAACAAGGGGCTATTACAAGTGTGGATAAGAGGAATCCCTAAGAATGATCTATATTGCTCTTCAAAAATTTGGCATTGTGTAATGACAAGCTGTACTTCATTAAAGACTCTTCATTAATGTACTCTAAGTAGTGGTAAGATTACTCAGGAAGTGAGAGGCAGAAATATAGTTTATAAACTGGGAAAAGATTACTGTTACAGCCTAGCCCAATACCCATCTGTATGGTCACCAGTCTGTTGTGAGTGGACTCAGTTGCTGGGTCCCATGTGCTCTCTAGCTCTGGGACCCTGGGGTATAGTCCCAAGCTCAAACCTCTTTTATGACTCCCCTCCTTGAGTGGTGGGATGCCACTGTCCAGTCACATTAGTCCTTGAAGTCAGTTCCTGAGACATCCCCCACTCCCAAGCAACTTCAGTTGCTTACATATGCTCCCTCAGAGTTCTACCTGGGCTGTAGTCACTTTGGGTTTACTCATTTAATTCTTCTGAAGACATCACAGCAGGAAAGCAAGGAACACAAACAGAATGGGGGGGGGGGATCTCTTAACCACATTGTCTTTAATCTTAAAGCACTCAAGAGACAGATCTTTGAAAAAACAAAGATCCTGAGATGCACCCTCACCTAGTCTGGTTCACTCTTTCTGTGAGTCCACGGTTTGTCAGCATTATAGGCTGGGCAGAGACCCTCCTGCCCTCTCTCTCTCTCCTGCAAACCCTTCTTACATGTGGCAGTGGGCAACCTCCAGCTGCAGAGAAGAACCTTGCTCTTAAAGAGGGCCTCTATCTCTCGGCCATGTATTCAGACTGTGAAGTTCCATACCCACCAGCATGCTTGCCTGCCCCTTGTGGGCCTCTGTGTAGAAAGACCATCATTCCATGTGGGTTTGCAGAAGTGGAAAGTCAAAATTGATAGTTTCAGACTGCAGCCTTACAGGGCCGGCTCTAGGTTTTTTGATGCCCCAAGCCCCAAGCTCTGAGAGCGCAACTGCCCAAGCAAAAAAAAAAAAAAAAGATGGCCAGAATGCCGTCCCTGGAATTGTTCCGTCCCAAGCACATGCTTGCTTTGCTGGTGCCTAGAGACACTTCTGCAGCCTTGATGTGTTACCCGGGGTTCTTTCAACTGAAAGCTCTTGGTAACTTTTACTCTGTGCGAGGTGGTGTCAGGAAATAAGTCAGGGGAGACACAGTCGTCTGACCGATAGATGGCTGGCACAAACAAGACAACACAAGAGTGCTTTCACTTAAAGCTAAACTTTACTTAGTCTCAAGCATTTATTCACACGTCCACAACAGGTTAGTAAAACACCCCCAACCCTTGATAATTACCAAAGCTGAGTGTGGCTCTCCAGTGGCACAGCAGCAGCCCGTCTGTTAGTGGGGAACACAAGATGCATCCAGAGGAAGAGTCCAGTCCTGAAGAGTCCCATTACCTCAAACTTTCCCCCCTTATTTATACTTTACATTTAGTAAAAGAATGACTTGTCCCTTAAAGAAAACTTGTTAAGCAAGCAGTTCCAATGGTCAAGCAAGAGGCTCCTTCTGATTATTGATTAACCAGGTGTGGATTTTTCCAGAGTTTGCAGCCTTGAGGCCCCAATAGACATTCCTGAGGCACATCCTGCTCTTCTAAAATGTATGTTTCAACAATGTCAACACAATTCTTATCAGGAAGGACACGGGGTCAAGCTGCCCTTTCTGTGGCACCCAAAACCCCCTCCCCTCCTTCCTTGGTCAAGCTGAGTTTGCTACATGGCCACTTTATGGCCTGCTGACTTGGCTGCTTTTAGCAATAAGCCATAGTGGTTTCAGACACTTTACTGGTTTGCTGACATCTCCCCATACAGATGGCTCTCAGTGGTGGTCCTTCAATAAAGTGTCAAATGACTTTCCAGGGCAGGGCAGCTATCTGGGGTGCCACGAAACAGGTTGAAGCTAAGAAAATCCAAATGAATGCAGCCAGAGACAATACTTCAACAGAGGTAAGAAACAAACTTCACAATTTGATACAGTCATATCCCATTCCACCACAGTTTACATTAAGAAAGAATTGAGTCTTACATTTCAAACCAAAATATGGCATATCAGATCTAGAAGTTGGCAAACATACCAAATGGATCATGGGTTCAGGCCAGGTCTACACTACAAATTTTTGCCAGCATAGCTATGTCATCCAGGTGTGTGATGATGTGTGATCTGAGACTATCGTAGCTATGCTGGCAAAAGCCTTTAGTGTACAGTTATACTGGCAAAACTGCAGTTTTACCAATACAGATTATTTTGCTTGGGGCGGGGCATGTGAGCTGGAATAAGCTGTCCCAGCAAAAACAGAGTTTTGCCAGTATAAACTATGCGTACAGTAGGAACGCTTTGCCAGTATAGTAAACAAGTATTCCTATACCATCAAAACACTCCTAGTATAGAGCAGGGTTTAATTTCCAAACATTTTCACCTGAAGTTCAATGTGCTCCCAGACTTTGAGTTTTTGCCAAACTTTGTAAAATTCATTAGGCCAGATTCTTTGTACAAATATACAGACCTTTTCCACTCAATTCAATGGAAACCACCCACATGCACCGAAGGAGAGAAGTTTGCCAAGAATTTTGCAAACAATCATAAAAAGAAAAGGACCACCCATGAAAGAGATGATGGATGGTCCACTGGTTAGGGCACTAGACTGGGCCTCAGGAGACAATTCAATTCCCTCCTCTGCCACAGACTTCCTGTGTGATCTTAGATAAATAACCAACAGGCAGATTTTCAAAGTTATTTAGGCACCCAAACATGAAAACAGGCACCAAGTGGGGTTTTCATAAGCACTTAACTCCTATTGATTTTGACTGGAGTTAGGTGCCTTACCTGCTTACGTGCTTCTGAAATTCCCACTAGACTCCTGTCTGCAACATTAGGAGCCTTCTAAATATCTGATCCTTCATCTTGCGGTGCCTCAGTTCCCCATCTGTAAAATCAGAACAACAGTATTTCCCTACCTCACACAGGCGTTGTTAGTATATATATAATTGAAAACTGTGAGTAGTTTAGGGAGATTAACAGAGCTGCTTGGAAAAGAGAAATACCTCTTAGCTGAAATTCCATGGAAAATGCCATCCCTTTTGGTGGTTTCCAAATGTTCTAACCATCCCTAGGCAATAAGATGGAGCTTGTTATGGGAATGTAGCAGCTCAGAGAGAATATATCATTTTTTACTTACCACTGTATTGTCACAATAAGGCACTGGAATTAGTATCACAGAAACCAAAATCTTCAGTTTTTAAAACGAGTCAAAAATATTAGCATGAATCATCCAACATGTCCATGAAGATATAAAGGTTTAGTCTCTCCTAGATGCACAGCTGATTCCTGTTAATATTAATGGGGCATTGTGCACTGTAGTGGTGCTCTGGTCGTCCCTCCCCTTCTGGGTTGGAGGGAGGCCACACTGCCTCCCTACATAGCTGGGATCACTGCCTAGTCTTGGGAGAATTAGCAGCCTAGGAATTAGTGTCCCAACTGCGCTAATGGGCAAAACCCCAAACACTCTATAGGCTCTGGCTCTTAGACAGGAACAGAGCCACCAAGGAGCCCACAGACTCTGGCCCTCAGGCAGGGGCAGAGCAGTGAGTAGTCTAGCATCTGAGTTTTAGAGGACGATAGGCTAACACCAGACACCTGGCCCACCGTGGGGAAGCTGCAACCCCAGGGGTGGGGTGGGATGGAGTAGGAGGACCCAGGCCCACCCGACTCCACCAGGTCCCAGCCCAGGGCCCTAACACTGGTGGAGTGTTCTGCCACGGGGTCAGCATGGGATCCAGCCACAACACGCTGGCCATGTTTCAGGCTGCAATACAGCCAGACTGGAGTCGGCTGTCCCTGGGCCACATCCTCCCCTCCCCTTGAGGTGTACCTGGATCAGTGGGTGTCCTCCGTCTCCTCAGGGGAGGTGGCCAGCAACAGTCTAAGCAGCTCCCCTGCAGACACAGGCTCCTTCGGGAGAAGGCATCTCTTGGTTTGGCAGCGAAGTCAGCAGCCTGGAGTGAGCAGGATGCATCTGTTTCCCTCCCTCCTGCAACTGTGCTGGAGGCTTCGCCTTTTATACTTCTTGTCCCACCTTTCCACTTGTTGCAGGAGGGCAATGCGGGTCTGGCTCCGCCCACCTGGGCACAGAGGGTGCTTCCTACCCTTCCGGGTTGGACGAAGGTCACACCCCCTCACTACATGCATACTGAAGAGATAGAACAGACTCCTTAATATACTAAAAAGTGTCTTTCAACATTAATGAGAAAGAAACACACTTGTATACGCTACACGTAAGCTGCTTTGGGGATGGGATTACATGGACCCTAAAATAAGTCCACAGAAATAGTAAATCAAATCACTGACATTATTATTGCTGCACAAGCCTTTCCTTACACATACCTTTAAAATGGAGACACTGAACAAATTAGTCCCGGTGAAAAGCTGTATTGATTAACAGAGCTGGTAAACTAGTAAACCAACAGGTTGATTGTTTACTTCTGTCCCCATTTAGTTTCCATTTGCACTTGCTCATCATGGTGCATAAGTACTATGGGCCTGATCCAGAGCCCACTTAAGTAGGTGGAAAGATTTCCTTTGACTTCAGTAGGCTTTGGATCAGGCCCTATGCAAAGAACTGTGGACCAAGGACTGGTTTATTTCATTTCTCTTCTTTTCCCCTGTCCCTTTCAGAGGAGGCGGTTGGAGTGGGGAGGGAAACAGACTCACTCAAGACCCCTGTGTGAATTGTCACACTACATCTTCTGACCTTTGCTTTATTAGTTGAATTTCAGCACAATTAATTTAGTGACTGAAAAACTTTTCAGATTGCTTTAATGAATGTGCCATTCAGTTAATGCTAACTTTTAGTGTATTGTATTTATTATGAAGCATGTACCCTAGAGTGTTTCTCGAGTGAAAAACCAAAGAAAGTTAATCAAATCATATCAACACATTGCCAGGCAGCTTCAGTGACATGGCCATTTCATGCCAAGACCAAGTTTATTAAGGTGGATCATTTAACCTAGCTTCTGCTGGCTTAAATATGATAGCAGCTCTATTCAAAGAGGAAAGAACAAACCATTTTGGAATATATAGGCAACTTTTAAACCTTACAGGCCTTAAGCCCTACCACCCTTACTCATGCAAGTGGTCCCATTGAATGAACATATTATTCACACCAGTATAGCTCTGCAGGGTAGGAGCTTCAGTACGATGTAGGTCAGAGCCTTGAAACAAAATGAGTGCCCAACATTATCAGGAAATAAATGAAAGCACTTCAAGAAACATCTACACAAAACTTAAAATAACTCTTATGTTCTCTTCCCAGCATTCTTCTATATTTTATTTTAAATGTATCTCTTATTTTTATTTGTTTCATGTTTCCCCAGTTCCATCAAAACACCAAATAATATTTTTAAAAGAAGATATTAACAAAACCTACACTAATCAATTTAACTGAGCTTTGCATGAAAATGTTTTATAGTACTTTTATTTCCCTTTAGTCAACAGTACTGCCAGAGTTGAGAAGACAAACAAAGGGCTTTTCTGTGACTCTCCTTTATTGATATTTCTAGATCTGCTCAAAAATGGAAATAATTTTCTGTGAAAAATATTGGTTTTTTTCTTGGTTTTTGACATTTTAAACATTTTTCAAACAGCTATAAAAGTGGTCAAAAACAGAAAACTAATTTAGTGAAAAAATTGACTTTTCTCCCCACTTTTTGTTAAAAATTCCAGAGCTTGTCAGAAAAAAATTGCAGTTTTGATAAACTCAAATTTGCACTTGGCCCTTGTACAGCCATTCAGAATGTACAAGAAACCTCTTGCTGAGTTTATTTTACATATAAATAAGCTTCTGGTCCTTTAAATTTCAAGGTCTGACCACAGTACTATAACACAGTCTTCCTTTCTAAGATTTGGATGAGAAAGTTTGGTTAATGACATACAGAGTGCAGGGACAAGTGGCATTTGTGTCTCATGGCAAATTCATATTTTATTTAGACTTTGACATTTTGATCTTTATCGATTGAGGTATTTAAGCTTACATAACTTACAGTTTGCTATAGTATATTCATATGTTGTGTGCATTATAGCCAATTACTAAATATAGAAATTGATCAGTTAAACCACTGTATATAATAAATAATAATAATAATAATAATAATATAGTCTAGATTAAGCTTTATTATCTCCAGCAGAAGAATGGGACTTTTGCGTCCAAGGTCTTTTGCTTACACAATGTACAATGAAGTGAGCTGTAGCTCACGAAAGCTCATGCTCAAATAAATTGGTTAGTCTCTAAGGTGCCACAAGTACTCCTTTTCTTTTTGCGAATACAGACTAACACGGCTGTTACTCTGAAAACTGTTTTATGGAGTATCATATGTGTAACTGCTGCCATTGCCACCTTGTGACTGGAGTTCTTTTATTTTCTTTTTGCAAATTTTGATTTGCTGACCAATTCTCCTGTATTTGTAAGGTTTTCTGTCACGACAGTGACACCTGCTGTTGAGAGCAAAGTTTAAAAAATTCAAAGAAAAAAAGACAATCATTTCCAAGGCAAAGATTGCTTACAGGCCTCTGACATCTGGGAGTTGTATCTTCTCCTTTGTGAGGTGGGCTAGAAAGAAAAGAAAAAAAGATTCAAAACTTAAATTAGATAAGGGGTAAAATTTTCAAATGGAATCTAAATCCTAATGACTTTGAAAGAGATTTAGGATACATTATCTACACTGCAATCAAAGATGTGATTGCAGCTATAGGAGGCATACCCCTTATAGCTTTAATCTACCTAACATGGCTAAAAATAGCAGTGAAGACAGGGCAATACAGGCTTCAGCATGGGCTGTACAAGTCCACCTGGTCCCCCTGTATACGCCTTTGCATTGCTAGCCTAGACGGAAGCCTGTACCCCATGTCGTCACTTCTATTTTTAATGCTAAATTAGAGGTGGTATGCCTGCCCAAGAAGCAACCACGCTTTTGATTGCAGTGTAGACAGACCCTCTGGCTCCCTACTCTCTTAAGAAGCCGATTTTTGAAGGTTTTTACGTACCTAACTCCCATTGAACTAAGCACCTACAATCCTTTTTAAAATCTTATCCTAAGTCACTTCTGAAAATGGCATTTAGGTGATTTTGAACATTTGACCCATTGTTCCTTGGCCACAATCTTCTCATACAGAGAAACATAAATAGTGAAGAGATCTTTTTGCACAAGGGAATCTGGTTCATGTGTTGGCACAGCTGGTATGGTTTTTCCACTAACTCAAAACACTGACTTTTCAAGTCAGTTGTAGTACGATGAGGCCAAAATTCCTAATAAAGACAAAGTTTGAATAGAGAAGTGAAAGAGCTTTGTGCAGCTTTTATTGTTTAATGTCTTTTCCCAAGGAAAATTTGTGTCAGGTCTATTTTTCTACTTCTTTAAAGGAAACTAAAGCATTCTCTTTTAAAGATATATTTATCTATATCCCAGCTAAAGAAGATATAGTTGTGTGATTGCAAATCATGGAATAATGCAGCAAACTGCATGTCAGTAGAGTGGAAGTGGAAACACACACAAGCAGTGGAAGTGGAAACACACACACACACACACAATGTTGTAAGAGAATTCCTATGTGCTAGCATACATAAAATATGAGCATCACTAATAAACAGCAGCTGTAGTATATAACAGGCTGGATCTTTGCGTGGAATATCTTTAAGGTGTTTTTGGCATAGCTTCCAGGACTGTCTTGACCAACACTTTCCCAGATGTGTAGGATTATGGGATATATCTGTTTGAATCTCTCAGGCAAACACTTTAATTCTTAACCACACCTGGGTTGGATATTGCAATCGGCTCCCATTTTCCATTTAACATTTTCCTACCTTGTTCATTTTAAATTCTCTGTGTTTTCCCTTATCACTTAATACATTTTCTTCATTATTGGCATCTGGGCTGTGTGCTGTAACACAAACACCAAAAGCCCAAATCAAGTTGTTTTAAAAAAATTTTAAAAGAGCGAAAATATTCCCATTTCAGATGGAAGAGCAGATGGAGCTTTTGGCACTTTAGAGGATTTAAATTGACCCTCTGCACCAAGCTAGGGGAAGACAGACTGTCACTATGACTGGGAAACACTAAAGAGATCTGGTTTTCCCATAGAATATACAGTAGCATTTTCTAGTTCTTTAGCTCTAAGCTGTGCATGGTGATGAAAAAACAGCTGATTTTATCAGCTCAGGCTATTTTACACCCCAGGAATGCTCTTCACTTGCTTTCATGTTGAAATGGATAATAATCATTCGGAATTCTTGGGTATAATTTCTATCTCACCCTTTTCTTAGCAATGCCCGTGGGGATGCTGAGTAGGCTGCAACTATGTCCTCCCCCTCCTTGATATTTTTATTAAATAATAAAGTGGTCTAGCAATTTAAACATTCTAACCCTAAAAGGCCAGATCATCAGCTGGTGTAAATGGATTCAGCTCCATCGACTTCACAGGAGTTACATTCATTTAGATCCATTCAGGATTCGGCCTGAATTCTCAAGAACAACCAGATTTGCAACCTAAGAATGTTTCTAAATTCACCTATCCAGTTTGAAAAGCATTGCTGCAGTATACCACAAAAGAGTTTGCACCGTTCCATTTTGTTTTCAGCATGACATCCTTTGACTCATGCCAACAGCCCAGTTTTAAATATCTGACTACCAAAATCATGTCTAAGCAGTGCCAGAAATGCAACCCATAGAAGCCAGAAAAATTAGATTTATTTTAATAAATGTATTGACTTGAAGACAAAGACAGTAGCAAATGCATTTTCTGTGTGACATGTAGAGGTAGGTATATATTTTGCTTTATTGGAGTGTAACATTCTTTTAAAAGACATCCTTTAAAATGAGTTTAGTTGACAGCTCAGACTGGCACAAACCTCAATTTTTGTAAACAGTTCGGGAAGGCCAGACTAACACCTATGCAGATTCCCACTGACTTCAGAAAAGCCATTACTAGTATGGCACCTCTTCCAAGCAAGATCCAGGGAAATTTTATGAGGGAGGCTGAAGAGCAGTGATGTCTTCCCAATATT